AATAACAAATACAAGATTTAAGTAGAGTGAACAATAATAAGAAGTATGTTTAATAGAGTGTGAACAATAGCAGAAAGGGGGGTGTAGCAGAGTTTGAACAATAACAGATAGCGGAGTGTAGCAGAGTGTGAACAATAACAATAAGGAATTTTAGTAGAGTGTAAACAATAACAAATAGGGGAGTATGGCAGCTTGTGAAAAATAACAAATAGGGGAGTGTAGCAGAGTGTGTAGAATGACAAGAAGTAAGTTAAGTAGAGTGTAAACAATAACAAATAGGGAAGTGTAGCCGAGTCTGAACAATAACAAGAAAGGAGTTAAGTAGAGTGTGAACAATAACAAGAAGGAAGTTTAGTAGAGTGTAAACAATAACAAGAAGGAATTTTAGTAGAGTGTAAACAATAATAAATAGGGGAGTTCAGCAGAGTGTGAACAATAACAAGAAGGAAGTTTAGTAAAGTGTGAACAATAACAAAAAGAAAATTTAGTAGAGTGTAAACAATAATAAATAGGGGAGTTCAGCAGAGTGTGAACAATAATAGACAGGGTAGTGTAGCAAAGTGTGAACAATAACCAGAAAAGAGTTTAATAAAGTGTGAACAATAACAAGAAGGAATTTTAGTAGAGTGTAAACAATAACAAATAGAAGAGTGTAGCAGAGTGTGAACAATAATAAAATGGGGAGTGTAGCAGAGTGTGAACAAGAAAGTAGTTTAGTAAAGTGTGAACAATAACAAGAAGGAATTTTAGTAGAGTGTAAAAAATAACAAATAGGGGAGTGCAGCAGAGTGTGAACAATAGCAAGAAAGAAGTTTACTGAATTGTGAACAATATCAAATATGGGAGTGCAGCAGAATGTGAACAATAACAAAAAGGAAGTGTAGTTGAGTTTGAACAATAAGAAGAAGGAAGTGTAGCAGAGTATGAACAATAACAAGAAGGAAGTTTAGTAGAGCGTGAACAATAACAAGAAGGCAGTTTAGTAGAGTGTGAACAATAACAAGAAGGAAGTTTAGTAGAGTGTGAACAATAACAAGAAGGGAGTTTAGTAGAGTGTTAACAATAACAAGAAGGAAGTTTAGTAGAGTGTTAACAATAACAAGAAGGAAGTTTAGTAGAGTGTGAACAATAAAAAGAAGGAAGTTTAATAGAGTGTGAACAATAACAAATAGGGAAGTGTAGCCGAGTCTGAACAATAACAAGAAAGGAGTTAAGTAGAGTGTGAACAATAACAAGAAGGAAGTTTAGTAGAGTGTAAACAATAACAAGAAGGAATTTTAGTAGAGTGTAAACAATAATAAATAGGGGAGTTCAGCAGAGTGTGAACAATAACAAGAAGGAAGTTTAGTAAAGTGTGAACAATAACAAGAAGAAAATTTAGTAGAGTGTAAACAATAATAAATAGGGGAGTTCAGCAGAGTGTGAACAATAATAGACAGGGTAGTGTAGCAAAGTGTGACCAATAACCAGAAAAGAGTTTAATAAAGTGTGAACAATAACAAGAAGGAATTTTCGTAGAGTGTAAACAATAACAAATAGAAGAGTGTAGCAGAGTGTGAACAATAATAAAATGGGGAGTGTAGCAGAGTGTGAACAAGAAAGTAGTTTAGTAAAGTGTGAACAATAACAAGAAGGAATTTTAGTAGAGTGTAAACAATAACAAATAGGGGAGTGCAGCAGAGTGTGAACAATAGCAAGAAAGAAGTTTACTGAATTGTGAACAATATCAAATATGGGAGTGCAGCAGAATGTGAACAATAACAAAAAGGAAGTGTAGTTGAGTTTGAACAATAAGAAGAAGGAAGTGTAGCAGAGTATGAACAATAACAAGAAGGAAGTTTAGTAGATTGTGAACAATAACAAGAAGGCAGTTTAGTAGAGTGTGAACAATAACAAGAAGGAAGTTTAGTAGAGTGTGAACAATAACAAGAAGGGAGTTTAGTAGAGTGTTAACAATAACAAGAAGGAAGTTTAGTAGAGTGTTAACAATAACAAGAAGGAAGTTTAGTAGAGTGTGAACAATAAAAAGAAGGAAGTTTAATAGAGTGTGAACAATAACAAATAGGGAAGT